TCCTAAAATTGATCCTAAAAGATGAGATCCATCAGGTCCTACAACTGATCCTAATAGATGTGATCCATCAAATCCAAAAATTGAACCTAATAGATGTGATCAATAAAGTTCTAAAACTGATCCTAAAAGATGAATTTCATCAAGTCCTAAAATTGATTCTAAAAGATGACATTCATCATGTCCTAAAACTGATCCTAAAAGATGAGATTCATCAAGTCCTAAAATTGATCCTAAAAGATGAGATCCGTCAGGTCCTACAACTGATCCTAAATGATGAGATTCATCAAGTCCTAAAATTGATCCTAAAAGATGAAATTCATCAAGTACTAAAACTGATCCTAAAAGATGAGATTCATCAAGTCCTAAAAATGATCCTAAGAGATAAAATTCATCAAATCCCAAAATTGAACCTAATAGATGTGATCAATCAAGTGCTAAAATTGATCCTAAAAGATGATATTCATCAAGTCCTAAAACTGATCCTAAAAGATGAGATTCATCAAGTCCTAAAACTGATCCTAAAAGATGAGATTCATCATGTCCTAAAACTGATCCTAAAAGATGAGATTCATCATGTCCTAAAACTGATCCTAAAATATGAATTTCATCAAGTCCTAAAATTGATCCTAAAAGATGAGATTCATCATGTCCTGAAACTGATCCTAAAAGATGAAATTCATCAAGTCCTAAAACTGATCCTAAAAGATGAATTTCATCAAGTCCTAAAATTGATCCTAAAAGATGACATTCATCATGTCCTAAAACTGATCCTAAAAGATGAATTTCATCAAGTCCTAAAATTGATCCTAAAAGTTGAATTTCATCAAGTCCTAAAATTGATCCTAAAAGATGAATTTCATCAAGTCCTAAAATTGACCCTAAAAGATGACATTCATCATGTCCTAAAACTGATCCTAAAAGATGAATTTCATCAAGTCCTAAAATTGATCCTAAAAGATGAGATTCATCATGTCCTGAAACTGATCCTAAAAGATGAAATTCATCAAGTCCTAAAACTGATCCTAAAAGATGAGATTCATCAAGTCCTAAAACTGATCCTAAAAGATGATATTCATCAAGTCCTAAAACTGATCCTAAAAGATGAGATTCATCATGTCCTGAAACTGATCCTAAAAGATGATATTCATCAAGTCCTAAAACTGATCCTAAAAGATGAGATTCATCAAGTCCTAAAACTGATCCTAAAAGATGAGATTCATCATGTCCTAAAACTGATCCTAAAAGATGAATTTCATCAAGTCCTAAAGTTGATCCTAAAAGATGAGATTCATCATGTCCTGAAACTGATCCTAAAAGATGAAATTCATCAAGTCCTAAAACTGATCCTAAAAGATGAATTTCATCAAGTCCTAAAATTGATCCTAAAAGATGACATTCATCATGTCCTAAAACTGATCCTAAAAGATGAGATTCATCAAGTCCTAAACTGATCCTAAAAGATGATATTCATCATGTCCTAAAATTGTTCCTAATAAATGTGATTCTTCAAGACCTAATATTGATTCTCAAAGATGTAATATATCAAATCCTAAAATTAATCCAAAGAGATGAGATTCATCAAGTCCTAAAACTGATCCTAAAAGATGAAATTCATCAAGTCCTAAAACTGATCCTAAAAGATGAGATTCATCAAGTCCTAAAACTGATCCTAAAAGATGAAATTCATCAAGTCCTAAAACTGATCCTAAAAGATGAGATTCATCAAGTCCTAAAACTGATCCTAAAAGATGATATTCATCAAGTCCTAAAACTGATCCTAAAAGATGATATTCATCAAGTCCTAAAACTGATCCTAAAAGATGAATTTCATCATGTCCTAAAACTGATCCTAAAAGATGAATTTCATAAAGTGCTAAAATTGATCCTAAAAGATGTAATATATTAAATCCTAAAATTAATCCTAAGAGATGAGATTCATCAAGTCCTAAAACTGATCCTAAAAGATGAATTTCATCAAGTCCTAAAATTGATCCTAAAAGATGAGATTCATCATGTCCTGAAACTGATCCTAAAAGATGAGATTCATCAAGTCCTAAAACTGATCCTAAAAGATGATATTCATCATGTCCTAAAACTGATCCTAAAAGATGAATTTCATCAAGACCTAAAATTGATCCTAAAAGATAAGATTCATCATGTCCTGAAACTGATCCTAAAAGATGAATTTCATCAAGACCCAAAATTGAACCTAAAAGATGAGATTCATCATGTGCTGAAACTGATCCTAAAAGATGAGATTCATCATGTCCTAAAACTTATCCTAAAAGATGAATTTCATCAAGTCCTAAAATTGATCCTAAAATATGAGAATCATCATGTCCTAAAACTGATCCTAAAAGATGAAATTCATGAAGTCCTAAAACTGATCCTAAATGATGAGATTCATCAAGTCCGAGAACTGATCCTAAAAGATGAATTTCATCAAGTTCTAAAATTGATCCTAAAAGATGAGATTCATCATGTCCTAAAACTGATCCTAAAAGATGAAATTCATCAAGTCCTAAAATTGATCCTAAAAGATGAGATCCATCAGGTCCTACAACTGATCCTAATAGATGTGATCCATCAAATCCAAAAATTGAACCTAATAGATGTGATCAATAAAGTGCTAAAACTGATCCTAAAAGATGAATTTCATCAAGTCCTAAAATTGATTCTAAAAGATGACATTCATCATGTCCTAAAACTGATCCTAAAAGATGAGATTCATCAAGTCCTAAAATTGATCCTAAAAGATGAGATCCGTCAGGTCCTACAACTGATCCTAAATGATGAGATTCATCAAGTCCTAAAATTGATCCTAAAAGATGAAATTCATCAAGTACTAAAACTGATCCTAAAAGATGAGATTCATCAAGTCCTAAAAATGATCCTAAGAGATAAAATTCATCAAATCCCAAAATTGAACCTAATAGATGTGATCAATCAAGTGCTAAAACTGATCCTAAATGATGAGATTCATCAAGTCCTAAAATTTATCCTAATAAATGTCATTCTTCAAGACCTAATATTGATTCTCAAAGATGTAATATATCAAATCCTAAAATTAATCCTAAGAGATGAGATTCATGAAGTCCTAAAACTGATCCTAAAACATGATATTCATCAAGTCCTAAAACTGATCCTAAAAGATGAGATTCATCATGTCCTGAAACTGATCCTAAAAGATGATATTCATCAAGTCCTAAAACTGATCCTAAAAGATGAGATTCATCAAGTCCTAAAACTGATCCTAAAAGATGAGATTCATCATGTCCTAAAACTGATCCTAAAAGATGAATTTCATCAAGTCCTAAAATTGATCCTAAAAGATGAGATTCATCATGTCCTGAAACTGATCCTAAAAGATGAAATTCATCAAGTCCTAAAACTGATCCTAAAAGATGAATTTCATCAAGTCCTAAAATTGATCCTAAAAGATGACATTCATCATGTCCTAAAACTGATCCTAAAAGATGAATTTCATCAAGTCCTAAAATTGATCCTAAAAGATGAATTTCATCAAGACCCAAAATTGATCCTAAAAGATGACATGCATCATGTCCTAAAACTGATCCTAAAAGATGAATTTCATCATGTCCTAAAACTGATCCTAAAAGATGAATTTCATAAAGTCCTAAAATTGATCCTCAAAGATGTAATATATCAAATCCTAAAATTAATCCTAAGAGATGAGAGTCATCAACTCCTAAAACTGATCCTAAATGATGAGATTCATCATGTCCTGAAACTGATCCTAAAAGATGATATTCATCAATTCCTAAAACTGATCCTACAAGATGAGATCCAGCAAGTCCTACAATTGATCCTAATAGATGTGATCCATCAAGTCCTAAAATTGATCCTAATAGATGCAATGTATCAAATCCTAAAATTGATCCCAAAAGATGAGATTCATCAAGTCCTAAAACTGATCCTAAAAGATGATATTCATCATGTCCTAAAACTGATCCTAAAAGATGAATTTCATCAAGACCTAAAATTGATCCTAAAAGATGAGATTCATCATGTCCTGAAACTGATCCTAAAAGATGAATTTCATCAAGACCCAAAATTGAACCTAAAAGATGAGATTCATCATGTGCTGAAACTGATCCTAAAAGATGAGATTCATCATGTCCTAAAATTTATCCTAAAAGATGAGATTCATCATGTCCTAAAACTGATCCTAAAAGATGAATTTCATCAAGACCTAAAATTGAACCTAAAAGATGAGATTCATCATGTCCTAAAACTGATCCTAAAAGATGAATTTCATCAAGACCCAAAATTGAACCTAAAAGATGAGATTCATCATGTGCTGAAACTGATCTTAATAGATGTAATCCATCAAGTCCTACAATTGATCCTAATAGATGTGATGCATCATGTCCTAAAACTGATCCTAAAAGATGAATTTCATCAAGTCCTAAAATTGATCCTAAAATATGTGATCTATCAAGTCCTAAAATTGAACCTAATAGTTGTGATCCATCAAGTCCTAAAAGTGATCCTAAGAGATAAAATTCATCAAATCCCAAAATTGATCCCAAAAGATGAGATTCATCAAGTCTTAAAACTGAACCTACAAGATGAGATCCAGCAAGTCCTACAATTGATCCTAATAGATGTGATCCATCAAGTCCTAAAATAGATCCTAATAGATGCAATGTATCAAGTCCTAAAATTGATCCTAAAAGATGAAATTCATCAAGTACTAAAATTGATCCTCATAGATGTAATCTATCAAATACTAAAATCGACCTAACTTTAAAAGTATTTTAAAATAAGTTAAGTTTGAATTAAGTTAAATTTAGAGTTTTATAGAACATCATTTGAAGAAGTTTATAATAATTTTAATAAAAGAAATATGTAAATAGAACAAAGTTTATTTTTTCGAATTTTTAAAACATTTTTAAATTTTTATTAAAAAAATTGTTTTAAAACAGATATTTTTTTATAGTTTGGGAATTAAAAAAAATTGATTTATTTTTTACTTGGAAAATTGTTCCAATTATTTGCAAAAATTTTAAGAATGGATCTAATATAATGTATTTTTTAAGTAGGATCAGTTGGGGTAAACGAGGACGAAATCGCTATTTTTCACAAATTACGTAAGTTTCTTCCTTTAAAAGCTAATATTTGTGGGTTTATATTTTTTTAAGTAGTTACTTACGTTCCCTGGATTAATTTTATGCAGCAGAAAAAAATTTAGATAAGCTTTAAACGCATGAAACTGACTGTCCCTATTTACCCCAAAATTTAGAAAATTTCATAAAATTTGGGGTAAATGGGGACAGCATAGTTTCTATCAAAGTTTTAAAAAAAAAGTTTCCTTAAGTATATTACTGTATTAAGGGATGAAAAAATTTGAAAAAATCAAAAAATAAAATTTTTTATAAACAAAATGTTTATTGTCACGAAAATTTTTTGCAAACTATTCTTACTTCCAAAACGAAATTTACTTGTGTTAAAATTTTATTTCTTGTACAATTTCAATCAATACTAAATTTTTTCAAATTTGTAAGTTTGGATTTTTTTAACATTTTATTGTTATCGGAATGTTATTTTGGGTTAGGCGCGTTTTCATGAATCCTGTTGATCAAAAAACGAAATGATCTTCTTTTGTTTATTGTAATGTCAGCTGCTGTTTAGTATATCATCACACGCAAAGTTTTTTAGCGAAAAAAGTAAGTAAAATCTTAAAATTCTTTTTAAAAATCGAAAAAAATTGTTATTGCTATTATTATTATAAAAATGTTTAACAAACGTGTTTCTCTTTTATAGTGACTGATCAACAGGACTCAAAAAAACGCTTACCCAAAATAACATTTCGACAACAACAAAATATGGTGCAATGGCTCGAAAAATTTCCAATTTTGTTAGAAAAAAATTTTTATTCTGATTTTGAGGAAGAGCAATTTCATCTCCAATGGGCTCAATTGACTCAATTATTAAATAACTTGAATCCATTGGGTGCGCGAGAGGAAAGCAAATGGCAAAAGGTAAAATGTTATTTAATATATAAATTTAATATTAATATTAATATTAATTTAATATTTATTAATATAAAATAAAATAAATTTTTTTAATTTTACAAATTTCATTCTTACAAATTACAAATTTCATTTTTTTTTATTTCATTTTTTTAAATTTTTTTTTTTTTTTTTTCAATTTTTTTATTTCATTTTTTTTTCATTTTCATTTTTTTCACTTCATTTTATTTCATTTCTTACAAATTAGGCTTTACATTCATGGGTTGCAAAAATCAAAGAGAAAAACGCGAAACAAACTTCGCTGAATGATTTAGAAGACAGATTGTCTATACTTTCAGTGATGTCAGAGTCGAAAAAAGAAAAAAAAGATGTCGGGAATAATTTACCAAGTGTAAGTTAACAATTAAGATAGTAGTTAAATTTAAAATTCCTTTTTTAAACAAATATTAAGTATATTTATTTATTAAATTATAATTAATTTACTTCAATGCTGCTAATGCTTTCTAAATTTTTATAAATTTCAATTTTAATTAAGATTTTTGTTAAATTATTTATCTTCTCGGAATTTAAGAAAATCATCCTAATTCTTAAAATTGTTTATTTTTCTTTCTTTTTCCTTCAGTTTCTCATAAAAGATGAATGGAAACCATTGCAGTTTCCTAATAATCCACCTATTTCTGTACCATCAGAAAATGAGACTGATGATGAATTTGAAATGTATATGCCACAATTAAAACGAGCAAAGGTTATTTAATTAAATATTAATTCAAAATTTAAATTATTCTGACAGATTTTTAATATGATTTTTTTATTATCAAATTTTTGATATTTTATTTAAATTTATTCTATCATAAAATTAAATTTAAAAAACAAATTTTAATCGCCTTTCTAAATTAATTACTTTTTTACAGAGCACTTTCAGTGATTCAACATCAACTGCTAAAAGAACCAAAAAAATTGGAGGAAATGTTCTAATTCAAAAATTATTGGCATCAACGTCATCGTCATCGTCATCGTCATCGTCATCGTCATCGTCATCATTGGCATCAAAGTCAGCATCATCCTCAGTATGCATATACATATTTGTATAATATAACATAAAATATATTTTTTAATATTATTTTTTATCATATTTCATATGTAAATGTTCAATTCTTTTTTTAATATTGCTTTTCATTTCTCGAATCGACCCTAGCTTAACCGACTTTTTGAACAATTATACTATAACAATTATTGTATGAAATATTCCTATTTTTATAGAATAAAAATCGAGATCACGAAATTGACGAATTGAGGACGATGCAACACGAGACTTTGCAGGTGTTAAAAGAAATTTCGACAACTTTAAATAAACAACTTTCAATCGCAATTAAAACCCTTGAAGTTTTAAACCAAACAATCAGTGAAACTTCTTAAATATTCCAATCTCATTTTTAATTTTTTTTTATTCTCTTATTTTATTTTTCTTCTCAATTCAGTAAATTTAAATTTCTGTATGTTAATAAAACTTATTGACAAATAAAAAAAAGTTTATAATTATATAACCTTTTTATTAATATTACTTTTCATCTTTTCTTAGTTTTTTAGTTTTCATTTTTACTCTTAATGTCGATCAAAATTTTAGGTATTTTTCATAATAAAATTTTCCATGCTTAAATATTTTTAGCCAAGATTTATTTTCCTTTCTCTATTCTTTCTTTACATTATTAATTTGTTAAGTTCTTTGAAATTTTAAAAACAATATTTGACGATGAATTTATCAAATGTTTTTAAATCTATTTTTTCAAATATTGAGATTAAACTGATTTAACATATTAACCTTCCTGTGCATGAGTTTTCACTCAAGAAGTCACTTCCAAAAGCATACATTTTTGACAACGTCGAAATTCCACATAGAGTTTTATTCTAGGGGTTTTCGGAGCCGTTAATCACAAATCCTACGTCAAAATTCCAAAAATATAAAATTCAAAAAGGGCAGATCCAATATGGCGGAAGAGTTTGTACAAAATTAATTCGGTTTGCTTAAATCTTGTTACTCAGGGGTTTTGGATTCGCTAATTAGAAATTCGATGTCAGAATTAAAAAATTCAAAATATCGCCCCAAAAAATAGAAAATGTACTTGGTGTTTTCCAAGTAGTAACAATAAATATATATATAAATGACTTTAGAATCATAATAGCCTATTCAGATTCAAGTAGTTAACTTTAAAACTTTTTGAGAACAATTAAAATTTTTTGAAGGGAAAAAACTACTTCAGAAAAAACAAATTTTTTCTAAATTTTTTATGTCGCACATTTATTATTTTTTATCACACCTATTGGAAAAAGTTCGTGTTTCACTTTGCAACAATAACAAATTTTCAAGAAAATAAAAAATGGTGTTCCTTAGAAAATCAGGTTTTTTGAATTTTCAAAAAATGCTGTCATTTCGTTAATTTTTAAATTTGTAAAGAAATAACATCAATAACAGTGTTAAAATCAAAAACCAGAATTTACAGATTTTGATTCGTTAAAATACTAGATACATTTGAAAAAACTTTAACCTTATGTTCAAAAACTACTTTTTTCCTTAAACTTTCAAACGGTTGTAACTGAAACAAAAATTTTTTTCTTAGTACAAAAAATACTTGACTCTTTATTTGTCCTGAATAGTAATAAACAATGTTGAACATAAATTAGATTTTTTTAAACTTTTCAACTCGCATAAATTGAAATAAAATCAGTCGAAAACAGAACAAACTAGAAATTGCAGCTTCACGTTGAATACCTAATAAGTTGACAGTTAAAACTGGTTACAATTAAATAAATTTAAAAATGTACTATTTAATTTTATTTTCGTGTAATAAAACTATAAGTGTAGTGGGAGAAAATCAAATAAAAAAATTCAAAAGTGAAAACAAAGTTGACGTTAAATGGGAAAGAAAGGTTTACGATGGGAAAGTGATTGCCCAACATGGTAAAATATATTTATGTATTTTTCTCTTGCTCAAAAAATTTATTATACACAATTATTTACATACGAATTTATATTTAAATTTTCGTTTTTTGTTCACGGTAGTGTTTTTGTAGCCTTTGCTCTAGAAATTTGAAAGTCGAAAAAGTTTTAAAAAATAACAAAATGGCGTTCATTTTCCGATAATCAAAAAAATTAATTTTTCCAAAAATCACTTTATTTTATTTATAATGATTTTGTGGGTTCTAGATAAAAAAGAATTTTAAATAGGTTTAATTTCCGCTAAAACTTCTCGAAAGACGATAGAATTTTTTTATGAAAATAACGGCACTCATTAATTTTTCTAATGTAGCGCAATATGACATTCATATAAATTCTTTTTTGTTTTAATAGTGTTTTCTATACTATTTTTTTGAAAATTTCAACTTTTAAAAAAAATTTTAAATTAACAAAATATCCGTCATTTTTTGAAAAATGAAAAAATCGATTTTCTCAAATGCATCATATTTTATTTTATTTAAATATTTTTTGTGTTTGATAGATGGAAAAAAGCAAAATTTTCAATCAAGTTTGATCTTCAATAAAATATTACTAATGTTGAAAAAAACTTTATTTCTGAAAACGTTAAAAGTCGTTATTTATTTTTATTTTCTTTATTTATTTCAACTCAACAAAAGAATTTTTTTCGTAAAATTAAAAAATATTCTTCTTTTTATTTGTCTTAAAATACAATTAAAAACATGTTGGGAGTCATTGAGAATTTTTATTTTGTTCAGTTTGCATGATTTAAAATAGAATTTAATTTTAATTTATCATTAATATAGATTTGAAAACTAAAATTGTTTCTTTATATTAGAATCTGAAGATTGGTTGAACGGGTTATCAGTTAGTTCAGAAGGAGTCGTTTTAGGAGAAGAAAATTGTGGAACCAGACAAACTAGTAAATCTTAATCTTTTTACACATGAGTGTTTAACACGCCATTGACACATTGTTGATTAGTATTCAGAATGCACAACCGAATATAATTTTATCATCCTATCAAATAAATCTACAACTCTTACCCATATCTATCATAAAACAATAAATGAAAAAGATAAATTTTTAAAAATGTGTTAAATAATTTTATAATTATAGTTTCTTATCTTCTTTTTATTAATTTTGTTTTTAATATTTATTTATTTTATTTTATGTATACATTTTTGACTTTTTTACATATACTAAATCCCCATTTTTGACTTTTTAAATTAAACCCCTTCTTCTTCACAAAAACTGTAAATATTTATTTCTGATCACTTATATTAATTATGTAGGCAGTCATAGTCAGGAAGCAGGAGTAGATTCTTTGGCGGAAAATATCAATGACTGTTCCTTGGGAAATTCACCAACACCTGATCGCGAAACCAAAGTCCAGGCTGATGACAAGGTTAACATAGGAAACGACATTTACATCACAAGACAGGAAGACGTAAATTTAAATCGATATACTGGCAGACCCAAGAAAATGACTACGACACTACTGACGTACATACTAGGACAGGACAGGTTGAAATGTATGTCACTAACAGGAAAAGGCGAGCATGAAGCAATTCCACAAATTATTTTGGAGTCCGTTGAAAGTAATTTATATTTTCAAATTTATAAATTTTTTAATGTATCTTGTCTATTAACAGAGTTATATCGCTTTGTAACTTTCTCCCTTATTTTTTGACAAGAATAATTACAATTCTCAATTTTCTTACTAGTGGAGGAACTATAATTTTCTCCAGAGGGGGTCATCCATAGGTGCGCGTACTTCATCGACCCCAGTGGGGTCACAATAATTGATATTGATCTTGGCTTATATTGACCAAAACAGTTATATATAATAAGCATAACATATTAAATGAATACCTTAATTTCTTTATTGACCCACCATTCAGTGAAGATGCAAAGTGATATATTCTAAATTTTTTTAAAAATTTATTTATATTAATATAATAAATTTTTATTGCAGAATTTGTATTTCAAAGATGTTCTAGGAAATTGTCAACATTCGAATTTAAAAGATGCATTACTAAATTTTGCCATAATTTGAGACAAAAGTAAAATAATTTTAGTTTCTTGTCTGACCTCTTTTTATTAAGTTTAATGATACCCGTGTGGAAAAAGCCACGATCTTGCCCTCAAGAGTTCGGGGCCCCCGGCGGGGGCCCATGAGGGCTGATCCATATGGCGAATCCATGAGGGGCACCGTAGGGGCCCCGCATGGATCGCCCTCATGATCGATTAGCAAAATTTTCTAAGTCCAAAAATCAAATATTTTTTTATCACCAAAAAATTAATGTTTATAATGATTCACAACAATGAAAAACGCGTTTTTAATTAAAATATATTTTCACTTTTTTTGAAAATAACACTCACACTTATGGCGAATCCATGAGGGGCACCGTAGGGGCCCCGCATGGATCGCCCTCATGATCGATTAGCAAAATTTTCTAAGTCCAAAAATCAAATATTTTTTTATCACCAAAAAATTAATGTTTATAATGATTCAGAACCACGAAAAACGCGTTTTTAATAAAAATATATTTACACTTTTTTGAAAATAACACTCACACTTATGGCAAAATAGATGAGGGCCACCGTAGGGGCCCGCATGGATCGCCCTCATGATCGATTAGCAAAATTTTCTAAGTCCAAAAATCAAATATTTTTTTATCAACAAAAAATGAATGTTTCCAATGATTTAAAACAACGAAAAACGCGTTTTTAATAAAAATATATTTACACTTTTTTGAAAATTCGCCTGAGATGATTCATGATAATAATCATAAAGCATATAATTAATTATATTTTATAAATTGCATTTGATTGGAAAATATAATTTAATATCTTAACTTTAACTAAATGATGTTAAGCACTTTTCTTTGTTAGGTATTTTTGAAGTTTAAATAGCATCAAGAAGTTAGCATTCGTTTTGAAGTAGCGTACGTAGCGTAGTTGGTAAAGCGTTAGACTCATAGTCCGTAGGTCGTAGGTTCGATTCCCCCCATGCGTTAGATTTATTTATTTCTCAGGTTTGCGTTTAATCATTAATTCTATGTATGAATTAATTGAAAAATGAAAATATCCGTTAATAGTATGCATAAATTAAATATTTTTTAATTTTTTAATTAATTAATTTATTATTACTTTTAATTATATCCGACAGTTAATTAATTAGAACGTTAATTAATAAATTGAATTTGAGTAAGAATTTAATTTAAAATTGAATAATTATTAAATAAATATGTTATTTATTCATAACTTAAGCTTATTTATTATTAATTAACTTTTATTATTAATATTATTGATTAAAAAACATTATGGCAAACTTGAGGGCAAGATGAGGGCAAACGTGAGGGCCCATAAGGGCGCCCGTAGGGGCACCCTCATGGATCGCCCATGCGGGCGCCCTCATCGATGAGCATGTCGTTTCCATGAGGGGCCCCTATGGATCATCCATATGCGGCCCTCATGGCATGAGGGCGATCCATAAGGGCCCCCGCTGGGGGCCCACATCACTTTTCCACACGGGTAATTAAATAAAATAATTAAAAGTAAAATTGTTTTTTATACAACACGGAATTTTGCGTGAATCTCTTCTAAAATATTAAGAAAAAATCTCAAGTTGACTATTATAACCAATTCGACCAATTTTCAAATTTGGCATAAACATGTATTTTTCCACCCTGATTCTAAAGAATAATTTGGAAAATATCATAGGAATTATCTGTCGAGAAATTTAAAAAAATATACGATTTAAAGAACAAAATTGTTTCTTTATCTCTCTTCAAACTCAGACTTTATGGTAAAAAATTATAAAACTTGGTTCTTATAGTGTATTTTCATCTGAAGATAAAAAAATTATAACGAACCTTAAAAAAATTAGTTTATATAAAATTTTTAAAAAATAAAATTTTCAAAGAGGTGTCTCTTTTTTCAACTGTACGATATAGAGGTGCACCTGGGATCATGTTGAGAGATAAAAATACATCAGAAATCACTGTGATATAAAAAATAAACATTTTTGGGTATTTACCCCACTTTTTTAAATTCTGTACTTTTTAAACTTACGCATATTTTTAGCAAACTCTGATGACACTAGAAATACTATCGTTATTAAAAAATTAATCTTCATTTTCAAAACGTTTCCATTACCAAGTCAATAATTTTTACGGTAATAAATAACGACACAACCGTAGGCAATATATTTAAATTTTCATTAAATTAAAACAAAAATATTTTTATGTATCAATAAAAATTTGTGAAAACGCGATTTTTTTATATGGTCATTGTTGTGTAACAAATTATGAATTAATTTCTTTTTCTATTTTTGTAACTTCTGATATGATTCTCAACGTTGTGTACTCTTGGCACGCTCTACTCTTGTCTGACTTTTTACATTTTTTAAAAATTAAAATTATAAACGCGATTGAACTTAGATTTTTAATACATTTGTACAATTTAAATTTTTAACAACGTGTTATTATAATATTTTAAATCTAATTTATACCATTAGTCAAAAAATTTTCTATAATAAAATTGTCAACAAATAAAATATAAGAAATAATTTAATACATTAATTTTTAATACTGTAAACGAACACTAAACAAAGCATGTTCACGTACAGGCATTTTTATTGAGTTGTAAATTTGTCTATTAAACTTGATAATAAATAACAGTCGATAATCATGTACTGTATTCAGACTAGTGTGGAAATTTATTGACAAGTCAACTGTATTGTAATTTATTTATTAAATATCGAGAATTGTCGAGTCATTTAAATATTTACTGTTTTTTTAAATTATACTCATTTTTCTCAAAAATGCCAGTATACACCGAAAGAGAGTATAATGACATGATTCGATGCTTTGAAGCAGCTGGGGGACGATCTTCAAATGCTGCTGCAAATTTGTATCGACAAAGATTTCCCAACAGACGGCATCCAGATCATCGAGTTTTTACGAGATTAATGATTAGAGATAATCAAGGTGGACACGTCGTGCCTCCAAACGACAGAGCAGGTGCACCAAGACGTGTTCGGAACCCAAGAGTCGAGGAACGAATTATACGACACATTAGAAATAATCCCCGAATAGGTTTGAGACAAGTCGCCAGTAACCTCAATTTGAGTTACACTACTGTCCAAGCGACCGTGAAAGAAGCAGGGTAAATTAAACATTTTTATATAAAAAAAAATTTTAATTTAAAAATATTTCCCAAATAAATAAAAAAAAATCAAACATTAAAATTTGTTAGTTTAAAAAAAATTCATTTTTCTTTTTATCGTTCGTTACAATTTTTAAAAAATTTATTTTGTAATCAAAGGACAATTTTTTTCTGTTTTTATAGAAAATTACAAAATTAAATTTTAATTTACTTTGTGTGCTATTATTGTTTTTGCTACGATTGATTTTTGTGAGTTATTTCTTATTAAATAATAACGACCCTAATTAAAAATTATTAAAAATTCTTTTTCGAAAAGTGCAAACTTTAAAAATAGATCTATCTAAACATTTGTCAGGTGTTAACCATCAGAGATAAAATTTGGTGGCAGTTGCAAGTCACACTTGCAATGCTTTGATTTTTATTCCATTTTTTTATATTATCAACCTTGTGGAAGTGTGGTACAAAATGCTATTATGTAGCTGTAGATCCCAGCAACGTATGCGGGGGAGGGTAGGGGTTAATAGGGTCTTGATACCTTGCATCATGACCATTTTTCCTAGTGAAAATTATGGATCTGCCGCTGTTAGATATCATATAAAACTATTGCAAGGTTGTTGCAAGCTAAAGTACTATATGTGTCCGGGTCTGAGAAAACGGTGTTATCGACCAAAAAATCAATTTTTTTATGATGGTTTCTTATAGTTAATGGTCCTAAAAACACAATGCAACTAGTCTCAATTATTAAAAAAAAATTTTTGCATTTGTTTAAACAAATTAAAAAAAAAATTTTCTAAAAATTTTTTAAATTAAAATATAAGTAATTCTGAGATAAAAATCACTCTTTGTATTTTTGTTTAAAATAAAAAAAATATAAATTTTTAATTAATTATTATTTATTAGATGTACATATAATTCTTTTCAAAAAACATAAATATTCAATTTCTAATGTTTCGATTTACAGATTGCATAATTACAGTTTTCAACGCGTCCAAGGCTTGCAGGGTGGCCGCTTGGATCGCAGAAGACGAAGACGATTTTGTAGGTGGCTGTTAAGAAAACAGAGACGGGACGAAAATTTTGTACACAATATTTTGTTTACGGACGAATGTCGTTTTGCTAGAGAAGCAACTTGGAATTTTCGCAACGAACATTACTGGAACGATAGAAATCTATTTCTCGTAATGCCTCGAAATTTTCAAGGCAGATTTTCCGTTAACTTGTGGGCAGGAATTGTTAATGGCCGTTTAATTGGTCCATTTCAAATAGATGGTTCTTTGAATGGGCCAAACTATAATCATTTTCTTCACAATCATCTTCCACGTCTCCTCCGAGCGCAGGGTGTAAATCCACGTCGGATATGGTTAATGCAAGACGGTCACCCAGCCCATCGCACCCAAGACAATCTGATGGAATTGCGCAATTTGTTTGGTAACAGAGTTATTTCAATGGGCGCAAGAAGAGAGTGGCCAGCGAGATCGCCGGATCTCAACCCACTTGACTTCTTTTTGTGGGGCCATCTAAAATCGCGCATTTATCAATACCCTCTGGAAAATATTGAACAACTCCGTCAGAGAATCACGGAAGCATTAAATACCGTTACACCTGAAATGCTTCAACGATGTGAGGCAAATCTCCTCGTTCGTTCAAGATTGTGTATCGATCGCCGTGGTGGATACTTTGAACCTAGGTTGCCACAATGAGGTGAACAATTTACTTGGGTGTCCAGCGAAACTGAAAAAAAATTCACTGACTTGTCCCCGACTTTTTTTCATATTCCTTCTGCCCTCTTTTTAAAAAATATTACATATTAAAAGAGAGGTGTTAGAATATTAAAGTATTTTGAAGATAATAAAAAACATTTTATGTATTAATATTATAAATTTAATTTTAAAAAAGTTTCTTGATTTATGCCCAAATTCACTGATTTTTCTTGATTTTTCATTGGCTGAAAAAGATTCATGACTTTTCCCTGACCGCTGGACACCATGTAAAAGGCTATTTAACAACTCTGCCACATGTTCACAAGAAATCGCTTTTATAAGATTCGTCGGTAATGACATGTTGAAGAACATTGAAGATTCGAGGTTTTTAGTTTTGGTTGACTTTAGAAATTGTTTTTTTATTTTATATGATTTAATATAGTTAATGGTAAACTTTATTTCAAATTTGCGTTTTTCAAAAGTTATTATTCTCATCCATTTTTTTGCATTTTTTTTAAAAAAGCCAAGTTCGATTTCAGGCACTCTTTTTTTTATTCTCTTTTAATTATTGTAATTAATTAATTATGTTAATTTTGACTAATATAATTAGCATAGTTTATTTCTGCTTTCTTAGAAACCACCATATATTAAAGATTGTTATGATACAGTTTTTGAATTAAAAAAAAAATAAAAATTTTTTGTCGTTATAATAATGATTTTTTTATAATTGATGTGTCTTACTGCTCTGTTTTCAAAATAAAATTTTTTTATGCTTCAGAATAAAAAATTTGACTAAAAGGGAAAAATTCGACTTAAAAAACTCTGCGTCCATTTATTCATTTAATTTTTTTTTTAAATCTCACTTTAAGTTCATCTTTAATTTCTGAAATCAATTTAGAATAAATTAATAATTTAATTCTGATGTAATAAGACAGTTATCAATATAATTAATATTAAAAAATATTTAAAATTTTATTTTCTTATTGCTATTCTTGTAATTTATTATTGCTGGTTGCAGTATGTCCACTTTTAGTTGCGTTTATCGTTTTTATTCTCATTCGCAGTAAAAAAATCGACGTCATTCTTTTTGTTTCAAAATGATAAACATCTTTTTTTACCATTTCGACAATGAAACATAAGAGGAATTAACTAAAGAAGTTGAAATTTTAATTTTTCGAAAACTTTCAGTTTTATTTTTAAAAAGGTCAACTCATTAATTGCAGTCAGTAAGAGCCCATCAGAAAGTCAGTAGATTTAAATTTGAATTTTCTGTCTCTCTTACTCTTGTACGTTTTCTGCGTGGTGGGAGGAAAATTTTGCGCGCGAAATTCAAAATCCTATTTTATTATTATATATTTCCAATGTTTATCGTTAATCTGCTAGAAGAGAAATCACCATTTTATTAATTATTCTGTATAATTATATTGATAGTTTGGATATTACTATTATTTTGTTTATTAAATAAAATTAGAAATTTTAATAAAGAGACTAAATGGATCAAGTTGTAATTTGTATATAAGAAATGATTTTCATTTGTTTTTAAACTAATAGTGAAAAAGTTAAAGTTGACAGTTATTGCAGTTTCAAGCAAAATGAATAACTGGGCTTGCATCAGATATTTAAAATCCTGCAATGAATCACATGATGATAAATCAACATATATTGTCCCTCTATCAAACGTAGATATACAAGGCTATGAATTTGATTCAAAAAAATCTTACATGGTTCAATGCTTCGGGGATCCAACAACTATGTGTAAAGCAATAATTGTATTCATTGCAAAAAATAGTAAGTTTTTATAATATTCATTAAGGTTGCCAAAATGTATTCATGTATTTGTTTTAAAAATTTAATTATTAATTATTATTTAAAAAATTTTTTAATTAAGATCTTGTTTATAGTTAAATTATTTTAACAATAATTCAAAATGAATTTCTCCTCATTTAATATTAAATTCCTAAGATAAAAACTTTTATTATTGTCAATAAATTTTTTTTAAAATAAAGTTTTATAAAAATTTATGTTGTTAAGAAAATGTTGTCGAATATGAATTTAACCTCAGATATTGGAAATTTAAAAATTCAAAATGGTGAATGCAATTTATTTTTGAAATTCTTTTTTTCTAATAGTGGAAATTCGACATTAAATTCGTATTTAGCATGTTTTGAAATCCCTGAAACGTCAATCTGTCAAGTTTTACCTCCACCATATTGGATTCCTTTTTTTGAATTATTATTAAAATTTGCAAATTTTAGATCAGATTCGTATTCAACGATCCGACATTTTCAATTTTGAAAATTTGACAACATTTGTAATTAGTGAACTAAAAAAATTTCCGATTAACGATTTTTCAAGCGAATTTGATGAATTTTTTAAAAATTGTCGACAATATTGTATTAACCATTTTGAACTAGTCAGAATTGCGCCAATAGTAAATTTTTGATTGGAAAATAATTCTTAAAAATTTGAAATTTTTTTCATTGTTACACATTCAAAATTTAATAATGTTTAACATAGGTATAATATAATATTAATATTTAAATGAAATATTCACATAGTTTAAGGAAAAAAAATTAATTTATAGCTTCAAGAGCAAATGCCATCAATCGAAAAAATAAGAAAAGATTAGTGTTTCCATCACTGGATCTGATTGACAAAAAATCTTCTTCAGAAGGCGAGGAGGAAAGTGATGATGATTATGTTAGTATTAAATTTTCTTAATTCTTTAATTTAACGCTTTTTCTATTGTTCCTTTCAATTCATAAAATATTACAATTTTATTTTCGTGTTTAAAATTAATAAATCAATAAATATTTACAGTTTGCACAAAGAGAAGAGAAGAGGCAAGAAAAAATTAAAAAACTAAAAGAAAGGTCTAATCAAGGTGAGCCCAGTGTCAAAAAGACGAAAAAAAATTATGACGACGAAGAATACAAGGATGAGGATGATCTTTCAAGTTCAGATGATGAATATACTACAGCTGATGAAAGTGAAGACCAAAAAATCGATATTAATGAAAATGATGATTATGACGATTGTCATGAAGACATTCGTGAGAATGGAAAATTTGTAGACGATAAAGACGATGCTTTTCATTACGAATTCGTTAACAACAGTATAAAAAAGAAATTACTTCGAAAATGAAAATTTTTCTTTTTAGTTTAAAATATTTTGCATTTTAAAATATAATTAATGTCTTATATTTAAATTATTTAAAAATTTTGTTCAACTTAGTAAACGAAAAAGACAATATTTTTTATTGTGAATTCGTTGACAAGTGTATAAATATAAAATAAATCAAAAATAAAAAAATTTAATTTTTAAGTTTAAAATATTTTTTAAATGACTTTAAACTTAATGTTGACTATAAAGATTTATTTGCAATTTTTTCTAACTTGGTGACATTATGCAATTATTTTGTAGATAAATTAACCTACCATTTTATAAGAATGAAAATGAAAAAAGAAATTTTACTAAAATTCAAAAATCAAAATATATTTAAATAAAATAATTAATCTATACATAAGACATACAAAGATGCACATCTTGAGTTGCGTAACCTTGTCCTCATTATTCAATTCTCAGTTTCTGTAATTATTAGCGGTTCTCCCTCGTTTTGGTCAATTTTCATTTTATGAATTGAATCTGAAAGTCCTAAGATTTTTAGCGGAATGCTAGACATATTATCACTATTGGATTACATATATACTTTAACTTAATCAAGATGAGCTTTAATAATTTTTTTATTCGAAAAATTTTTTTTCTTTATTTCTCTTGTATAATATCTACACGTAAAAATACATAAGTATGAAATTTTTTAGGTTTCTATGTAAAAAATTATAAGCGCTAAGGAACACACGTGTTTTAGGATAACTTGTCCAAAATTTTTAGTTTTTCGAATTCACAAAAAAAAATTTTAGTTTATCTCAAAAATCGCAATTAAAATCAATTCCAATCATTTTTGATATATTTTTATTGTCTACACACAGAAATATGTAAATTTTCATCTTTATAGACCAAGAATTGTGTAAACTAGCAGGGGAACACATATTTTCAAGAATTCAAGAAAACATTCAAGTTTTTCGCAGAAAACGCTAAGATCCCAATTAAAAATTTACTAATGGCGCAGTAGTGGCACCCAGTATTGGCGCCAGATTTGGCGTACTTTTGGGATGATAACATTTTACCAGTTTTAGCTGCCAGAGTTGGCACCAGTACTGGTAACCACTACTGGTTCAGTACTGACTGAGTACTGTCAGTTTTGTAATTTATTGTATACGAAAAGAAAGCTTTAACTGTAACAGAGATAAGTTTAACTGCAATAGTAAAACTTATCTCTGCCCCAAGTAATATTTTTTTTGTATACTTAGGAAAAAGTGTCAGAAATTTTTAGTAACCCAACACAAATTAAATATTAATTAAATTAGTCAACTAACTAATTAATATTTTATTATATAAAATCGAAAAAACTAAGAATTTTTATTCTTTATTATAATATGTATTGTAAATTATTATTTTAAAAAATCAAAAAATAAATATAAAAAAAAAATTATCATTTACAATTTTTTTTGGGTTTATTGCATATCTGAAAACAATAAGAAAATCTTGCAAAATATTTTGGAATTGGTCTCAGGAAACTTTTTGTTTAAATAATTTTACCTACAAAAAAGCAAAATAAAATACATTTTAATTTAAAAAATAAAATCAAGGTGAAAAAATTTTATAAACAAAATATTTAAACAAAAAGATTCATCAGGTTCACTCTAGAACTTTTGGTAAACTAGCATTAAACAAAAAGAAAATCTATTTTAGTCAGTACTGGCTCAATATTGGCACAGTACTGGTTTTCCAGTACTGGGAGGGTGGTACTGCAACAGTACTGATACAATTTATCAACCGCTTTGTTGATTAGTATAAATTGCAACCTCCAAACATCATAAATTTTGCAAATATAAACACATCCGATCTTCATCCTAAAACACGTCCTAATCTTCATCCTAAAACCGATCCTGAAGCATGTCATAAAATTGGTCTTTAAATTCGTCCCAATCTTGGTCCTACAATTAATACTTGAATTAATCTGGAAATTAATTTAATACTTACTTAAAAAATGTTTTTGATATTATATTGACTCAAAGAATTAAAATATGTAATATTCATAAAAGATATTACTTTCTATATTTTTTTACAAATGTAAAAAAAATAATTATAAAATAAGTCATACAATTAAAAATTAAGTTAATTAAAAGAAGTTTGCATAAAAGTAACTTTTTTTATAAAGTATTTGAAATTCAAAAAACAAATTAACCTTCAAAATCTATCATTATTATATAAATTTTTTCAACTTACCGTTAAGATAATTCTGAAAAAGATTTCTTTAATTTTTATAGAATCCAAGTAGTTATTTATTTTTAGACATTGAACTTTTCACTTCATTCAATTAAAAATCAATTTTTATAAACATAAACATTGCCCTTTTGTAATCCGAAATTTTGACAAACACGTGGATTTTTGTTTACATTCAGTTGAAATAACCAATCTCGTCATGACATTTAAAGCGGAAGACGCTCTTTTTTTTCCTTTTTCCCCTCCATTCACTGTCATTGTTAGAGAAATTTGTCACTCAACCAACATGGCGTTTAAAAAATCACAAACCATTGTTGTTTTCAGAAATTACAATTTCAATGTTTTTTGAAAACTATGAGGTATTTTTTCAAACCGAAAAATATTCCCCCTCCGCACATCGCCCTCGTCACGTGGACCAATTTTTGGCCACAACTTCCCGATCACCCTGTATATCACACTTATTAAGTAAGATTAATAATTAATTAGATATATTAATTAGGTTAATTAGGAATGGTTAAGCAGGGATGTGAGAGAATCTTGAAGATAGAGCAAGTCTCGCGAAAAGACGCGCGACTTGACCCTTGGCTCAAGCGAAACGCGTGAACCGTACGCGCATTCGGATTGCGCCGGGCCTAAGAAACGCGAACGCTGATTTTGCCCTCTCTCTAAAATTCTCCCACTTTGCCCTTTTTGGAAAAGTCGAGGATGATAAAAGTCCATGCACTGGACCAAAACGTCAGTTCTCCTTAGAGCTCAATTGGGGTTGGCTTTCCTCCCCTGCCTAGCCTGACCTACCGCTAACACTACTCAATACTTAGAAAAATTCTGAGTTGTTGGACTTAGAAAAATTTGGAGTCATCGAACTTAGAAATTTTTCCGAATCTCCGACTTAGAATATTTCTTCGATATTGATACTTAGAAATTTTCGCCCTTGTGGGACTTAAACTTTTTCGACACATTGTAATTTTGAAAAAAACGATCACTTATACATTGACTCGTTTCAATCAACGCTACCCCCCCCCGACTCTAACGTTTTACACTTTCAGCCGCAAAACACTCTACGTATCGAGTTGGTTTTCCTCTCGATACTAGAGCTTTTCTACACTCATTGTTGAGCTGGCTTTCCTCTCAACAATCCAAAATCGAGCTGGTTTTCCTCTCGAATAGGCTTACGACCGAGCTGGTTTTCCTCTCGGAACTACTACTCACACACGGTATCGAGTTGGTTTCCTCTCGATAGTAGTATATTGTGCAACATAGTACCGAGCTGGTTTTCCTCTCGGATACATTACACACACACGGTATCGAGTTGGTTTCCTCTCGATACCTAGCTACACACACTATATTGAGCTGGTTTCCTCTCAATATCAGTATATTACACACAATACCGAGCTGGTTTTCCTCTCGGCTACACTACACATACACAGTGTCGAGTTGGTTTTCCTCTCACACATCACTACTAAATCGAGTTGGTTTTCCTCTCAATAGTAGTATATTGTGCAACATAGTACCGAGCTGGTTTTCCTCTCGGATACATTACACACACACGGTATCGAGTTGGTTTCCTGTCGATACCTAGCTACACATACTATATTGAGCTGGTTTCCTCTCAATATCAGTATATTACACATAATACCAAGCTGGTTTTTCTCTTGGAACACTACACATACACAGTGTCGAGTTGGTTTTCCTCTCACACATCACTACTATATCGAGTTGGTTTTCCTCTCAATAGTAGTATATTGTGCGACATAGTACCGAGCTGGTTTTCCTCTCGGATACATTACATACCTACATTACCGAGCTGGTTTTCCTCTCGGCTACACTACAGATACACATAATCGAGTTGGTTTCCTCTCGATATTAGAGTACAAACTACTTTCTCTTTTCTTTTTTTTTTTAAATTAAACAATCAAACAATCGCTCTTCTCTTTCTTTTTAACCAACTTTAATGAATTTAAAGTTACTTTGCCACTATTTCGCTGTACCTTTGAAAAACTCCTTATTGGTTATGAAGCAAAATAGATTTGGCTGTTGCCCAGTTACTCCCTCTACAGTGACCGGTGTCAATATTGGCGCCCAACGTGGGGCTACGACTTTCTTTCGGGTCTGAACGGATGTTCAGACGGACCTCCCATCAATGAGATGTCTCACAACCTTTGCTGAGCTAACCTAACCCATGTCTCAAATAGTTTACAAATTGACGTAGACTATCTTTCAGGTTTATTCCTTTCTCTTAAGGGGGGACAGTCGTCTTTTGACTGACCCCATTAACCCCACTCTTTTCAAGAATACACTTCCGGGAGTGTTCACTAAAACCCGGTGGCGCTCAACGTTTTCCCCCTTTGTCTACACTTTTTCCATGAAAAGCTTCTTTTTCAATAAGAAAAAGCTTTTACCCCTTTCTCTTCAAAAAAAGCTTCTTCTGCTGTCGGAAAAGTTTTTTTTCTTCTCTCAACTACGAGCTTTCCTTTAATTAGAAAAGCTTTGTCTTCAATCTCTTTTCGCCCAAAGCTTTTTTTTTAAAAAAAGCTTGCGCTTCTATTTCAACCAAAAAGCTTCTTTGCAAGTCAGAAAAGTTTTTCTTTCTATCTAAATCACGAGCTTTCTTCTAATCAGGAAATCCGTGTCATCTATCTCAATAACGAGCTTCTCTCCAGTCAGAAAACTTTCTGCCTCTATTTCTCTAAACCAAAAGCTTGTTATTAGATAGCTTTTGATTCTATAGCCATAAAAAGCTTCTTCTTCAGTCAGAAAAGTTTTCTTCTATCTCAACCTCGAGCTTTTCTCCAATTAGAACAGCTGTGTCTACTATCACAATCAGGAGCTTTTCTCATGTTAGAAAGGTTTCTGCCGCTATCTGTCTCAACCAAAAGCATCTTCATTA